GACGGTCACCAACATGTACATCTTAAACCTGGCAGTGGCCGACGAACTGTACATCCTGGGACTTCCATTTCTCACCACCCACAACGTGCTTGCCTACTGGCCGTTTGGCAACTTCCTCTGTCGTATTCTGATGTGGGCAGACTCCATCAGTCAATTTACTAGCACATTCTGTCTGACAGTAATGAGCATTGATCGCTATATGGCTGTGGTACATCCTATCCGCAGCACGAGGTGGCGGCGACCCAGTGTTGCCAAGGTGATAAATAGCATGGTATGGGCACTGTCCTGCTTGCTGACGCTGCCAGTCATCATTTACTGTGATGTTCAACCGGAGCTCAACACCTGCAACCTGAGTTGGCCTGAACCGCGTGATGTGTGGTCGACTGCTTTCATCCTCTACACTGCCATACTAGGATTCTTCTGCCCACTTCTGGTCATCTGTCTGTGTTACCTGCTCATTGTAATCAAGGTAAAGTCCGCCAGTGCACGAGCGGGTCTCTCCAAACGCCGTAAGTCTGAGAAGAAAGTGACAAGAATGGTGGTGATCATCGTGGTGGTGTTCGTCCTGTGCTGGCTGCCATTTTTCATACTTAACATCCTCAACCTGATCAGCACACTCCCGGAGAACGGCCTCGTCACCGGCATCTACTTTCTCACCGTCATCCTAACTTACGTCAACAGCTGCGCCAATCCGCTGCTCTACGGGTTTCTGTCGGACAACTTCAAGCGGAGCTTCAAGCAAGTGCTGTGCATCCACAGGGTCAACGGGGTCCGCGAGGTTCACCCTGGTCACGCGCGACTCAGCAGGAACCAACAGAATGAGCCCTTCTTCCCTCCAAGGAGCTTTGATTTCAACGACCATGTCCAGAGCTATCATGTAAGTGCCTTTCATTCTATATATTTTCATTACTAGGTTTATGAAACACATGCTTAATTTGCAAAATACACACTGATGTATATGGAAGCAGCAATAGCTATCCTTATACACATAATGTAGGTAACAATAAAGTTTACTTTATTCTTCTCCCAGTTTACCAGAAACTACTTTAATGTCTCTCGGGATGAATATTTACATGTTGTAAATCCCACAGCTCGGATTCAGCGCAAACTAACATGGTGGCACCCATCACCCGAGATAGATTACATGGTCATTATAAAAGTGTTTAAACTTGCACATATTTGAGAATCGGAATATCATATATTTCATAATATAATTAACACGTTTCGAATATAAAAGGAAAAATGACACAAACCCCCCCCAAAAAACCCCTAAGCGATACATCACTCGTTCACAGTTATTGTGGCTGCGGTGTGTCATGTGACAAGCGTTGTGAGATATAAATTGTGAGATATAAAGTCGCAATTGTAAGAAATAAAGCCAGAATTGAGTGTTTGTTTCTCAGAATTGCGACTTTTAATCTCACAGTTGTGAATTATAAAGTCAGAATTGTGAGATATAAACTCGCAATTGTAAGAAAATAGACTTTTTCCCCACTCAGAATTGGACTTCATAACTCTCAATTGTGAGTTTATATCTCAATTCTGAGAAAACAAGTCAGAATTGCAAGTTTATATCCCACGATTCTGACTTAATAACTCACAACTGCAAGTTTATATCACGCAATTCTGAAAAAAGTCAGAATTGAGAGTTGTAAACGCTAACAATGTATACACTAACATTTAAATTTTTTAAATTTACAATTACATTTTTCATATCTTTATGAAAAATTTTAATTTTGAGGGGCTCCATAGCATGTGATTTTAAGGGGCCCCATAGCAAATTTAGTGCACAGATCCCAGAATTCCTAGCGACGCCACTGGAAACCAACATTCATTCATTTTATCACTTATTAATGATAGCACTATGAAGAGGGAAGGATGCTCATCGATTATGGTCATAAATGTCAGGCTTATCAGAGCAAACAGCAGAGAACATCACCAGTTGTACATCACTAAATCTTCTCGAATCAAACAGGTCTGACACATCACACCTTAGTCATCAGATTACCAGGTACATGTTCTTTTCTCAGGCAGCACCAACATTCCAAACATTCTGATTAGAATACAGTTAGAATGCTGAGAAACATGGAAGCTTGAGACTTTGAATGTTGGTGTTTGTTAGGGCCTTAATAAACAACATTTCTGTAAAATGGTCAGTACTGCATACTGAAGGCATGTAGATTTCACCTGGTTGTTCTGTACATAAATGCCCCTTAAAAGCAGATAAGAAGACAATCGAATACTCCTATCAAATCTGAACTGTTTTCGAAGAATATAATTCTTAGAATAGTTGCTATAAGGCTAAATGCTTTATTCTTTCTGTTGTTTTTGCTTTCTGAAATCCTACACCTACCTTTTCCTTTTCAGTCCATTGGTTTGGGGGCCGAGGCCAGAGCCAAAACGGAAATCCACCAACCTGAACCACAAGTGTGCAGCCAGTCCATATAAAAGTTGACAGTTGGATGGATTATTTCCCCCCCCTTTTTGTTCTGTTCGAGTCGGTTGTCCAATTAAGTCAATATGATTTGACTTGTGGTCAAAATATATGGCTTCATAAAAGCTTATTGTTGTCTATGCCTAGATCAAATGTTATCTGGTGCACAAAGACAATACATTTCCATATAAATATCAATCTGTGATGAGAAGATATCAGTGATGTTATATATGACTGTAAATATGTATTATAATGGCAAATGGCTCATCATTTTGTTCAGCATTACTGAATGAATCTGGGAAATTGTTCATCCACGACCTTTGGACCAATTTGGACTGTTGAGAGAGGAAGTGGTTTCCGCCGTTACATTTTGATGGATCATTGCTAATTTGGTGGCGGTTCTGAATATTTTCACTCTCGAACAAGCTCTCTTGGTGGACTTCTGGATTTCAAAGCAGAGTGATACACAAATCCCTGATTTACATATCACATAGGATTTGGTGGAAATGCCAAACAG